TCATTCTGATATTACGTATGAGCCTTAGCTTATAAACTATGACTAGTTTTAAAAGGTGGTTCATATTTTAAAGAATGGCAGCTTTGTCAAATAAATTAAAAAACGGATCCTAAAGACTTGAATCTTGTACTAGAAAGGCCAACACATGACTTTTTATTACTACTTTTCATTTAACGAGAATTTCCATAAAGTAGATTTAATTGATAATTGCATAAACTATTGTGCAAACTATTTTATTATATATATGTATTTATTATTATATATATTTATGATTATATATATTTATTATTACGTATATTTTTTATTATATATATTTATTATTATATAGTTATCCCTCATGCTTTATAGGGGTGTATGTTGATGGCGACACATTTTTAAAAATAAACTGTTGTTCTAAAGTTTCTAATAATGGGGTTTTAATATTGAAAGGCTTTTATTTTAAGTTTCTTTCAAAACTACATATAAATCTACGGGCGGTTCTATTTTTAATAAAAAAAAGTAAATGACTTTCACCAAACAATAGAATTTTGTGATACATGAGTAGATACTTTCTTTCAATTTCCCTCATAATATTTTTCTCTAAAATGGGGTAAGTTTTACGCAATTGTATTTTTATTGGTTTTTTTTTGGGTTGTATACAAAGAGTTTTCATTTTAAAATAAAAATTTTAAAATTTTAATAATAAAATTATACAATTTTTTTTGTATTTTCAATTTTGTTTCTTTTGGCTTAAAATTTGCATACTAGATTATTCCGTTTCTTTTAAATCCTGCTTTTTTAGATCAATATTTTTTTATACCTAAACAAGGAACATTTTTGTTAACCGAATTCAAATTATGAAAGGGAATATAATTTTTCAATTGTAATAATACTTTAGTTCTTAAAGCCTTGAATACTGTTAAAACAAATAACTATTTAGCAGTAACTTACTCTGTAAAAAACTGTAAAGCTTTTTCTGTACTGCCCTGATATATGATCCGACCTGCATCCATTAGTATGATGTGTGTGAACAGCTCAAATATATCCGAAGTTGGCTGATGTATAGAACAGATAATAGCTTTCTTTTGTCTACCATTCGGACTGTTATTGAATACACTTAACGAAGGCAGCTCCTTTAGAGATTCAAATAAATTTTCATTCGATTTAAAAACTTCCATTTCAATTGAACTACGACTACTTATATCGCTGGGCGTGCTAAACGAATCTTCACCATAGAGTGAGGTAAGGGAACTCTTAACAACACGATGACGAGTACATAGATGACGTAAAGTTTTTACTACTGTATAGGCACTATAACTGTCTAAACCAGTTGTTGGTTCGTCACAAAACAGGAAAGGTGGATCTATAATTAGCTTAAATGAAGAGAAATAAAAATATTATATATTCATTTAAAATAGAAATATAATTATTTAATATTTAATAACTTAATTACTTGCTAATTAAAAAATAAAAATATATATCTTAATTTTTCTTACCTCCTCAGCCAAACTTAATCGCTTTCGCTCGCCACCCGATAGCTGCTGTATGCGGGTGTTCGCAGCATCTCGCAGTCCTACTGCTAAAAGTAGGTCATTAACCCGTTGACGTTTTTGAGATTTTGTTGTTTTTCTATGCATTTTAAAATGTGACTACATACGAAAGAAAAAAAAATTGATTGTATTCGTATGTGAGTATACAAACTATTGAGTCTAAAGCTGACTTACCATAAAATACAAGTGCTCGTATGCGGTAAAGGTTTTAACATTGATTTCAAATTGTGGCAAAAAACTTGAGATGCGCGTCATATCATTGCGCGCCACTGCGACGCCGTTCAGCACAATATCGCCGCTTAGGTTACCGCGTAAACGCTGTGAAATAGCAGCGAGCAATGTGGTTTTGCCAGCACCACTGCAACCCAGTACAGCAATTAGATCTCCAGTTCTAATATGACCGCTTACTAATCAATGTTTTTGTTTAATTTTCAGCATTTCAAAGTTTTCGTGAACTTACCGTTCTTTAGGATGCGTATCTCCCTTAATTTTTGGCATTCCTGCCAAAAACTATAATTACTTTGTTCATTTGCTGGTACATAATAATCAAGGTTTTTCCATTCCAAAAGCAAACCACTACGCGATTCATTCATCTTACGGATGAAATTTTAATATTTGCTTAATATAGCTTTCACTATATCTTTATGAATCCAATAAAACTATATTTTTATATATATATTTTTACACCAACTGTATGGGTTTCACTGATCACTGGAGACGTTGTTAACAACGTAAAACTCAATATTATAATGGAAAGCTGTAGCACATGTTGTTACTAGTGATAAATTTATAATCTTATCTCTGCTTAAAATTGGTTTCATTTAATTCACTTATAATGGAAATGCGTTCACATTCATTACACAGATGTATGTGTCATATATATGTCATATATAATTTTTGTTTTTATAACGCAACATCTTTATCTCTTTAATCTCAATTTTTTTTAAAATATTTACAATTGCAGACCACTTTTCACTTATCTTAATAATGACAACTCTTATCACAGTTATAAAAGTGACACCTTTTTTCTTAACAAATAAGTGTCTATTTTCCCATTAACACCAAATGCACTTATCACAACCTTTTCGTGCTACAGCCTCCCACTAACTATTAGCATAAGCAGAAAATCTTAACTACCAAGCCATTATTATGCGCTGCTTTTCGTCAGTGTGTGGCATTAATCAGTGTCAGTACAATATCTCATTACTAATGAAATCGTTTTATACTTAAACACAGGTTTCCCAAACTTTTCTTAATACGTTCAAAATGATTAAACAAATTTAGATATATTTCTATAAAACGATAGCACACTATACACGTAAGAGGCCCAGGTCAGGAAAGTTTTTAGTGGTCCTTCAACCTTTAGTAAATTGCTGTGCAGTCTTTTACTTAGTACATTGTGACCGAAAAGCTTTCGGAAATTCTCATTTAAAATTCGCGCGCTGTATATTTTTCGATATTTTAA